TTTGAAGCTCTCATTTAAAATGACAACAGTAAAAGAAAAGTTTATGTTCCATGACATACCGTATACGTACACATATGATCGATGAATGGAAGTTTCGGTCAACAGATTACTATTTACTCATGACTTGCACATTACAAGTACAGATTTATTTATATTGATTTACTCATATTTATATTTATATTTTTTAACTGGCATGCTGCAAGTAAGTATTTATTATATTTATTTACTAATAAATAAATAAATGTTACAAGCACGACATGTCACAGTACATAAATATAAATAGGTCGCACTTGTAATGTATGGGTTCAAGAATGCAAAAGCTCAATTCAAAGGCACCATTGAAAACCTAACAATGCCGTAACGCCACAAGTTTACAGAAATTGTATTTTACAGTCGACTACGAGCAAAACAAAACCAGAAAACTGCTTTCAAAAAATTCCATGGACCCCATGAGCATTGAACAATGTGATACAATAAGTCCATTTAAATCTAATGCATGATGTTAGCTTATAGAATTAATACCTCCAGTCGAAATGGTAACAGCTGTGGAGAAAGTAAACAACTAGCTAGACTATGCATATTACATTTCCTATGATGCACTTGTACAAATCCTGGGATTGTGGGGCCACAGTTTAAACTCTTTTACAATGTCGTAACATGCTTACCTCGATCTGTTTTTCTCTTTCGTTATGTCAACATAAGTAACATTGGCATGAAGCCGAAGGGACACAAAAAAACAAATGTGAACAAACTTGTTATCCTCACACAATCACATAACTATTTTATTGTTGATAATAAAAAACCATGGTTATGACAGGATATTTATTGATTGATTTTAAAATTACAGAAACCAATCCTATATTAAGCCGCAGTCCCTCAGAGAACCCTTATTCTGATTATACAAAACAAGCACAGTCCAGAGGGACTGTGAAAGAACCAAGAACAAACTTTGTTCTTGGTTCTTTCACAGTCGCTTCTTTTGAAGGTGATAATATTGACTAATCAGCACAGAGACAGACAACATTTGTGAAGAGAGATCTAGAAAATCTGCATATTAAGCTGTTAGGAGATTGAAAACTTGTATTTTTACAATAGTTTACACCAAATATGCCAAATCTACCATTATTCACATAGGTGTCAAGATACCTTCAAAAATTTACAGTCAAATTTGGGGACAGGGAAAAAAAATTGAAGTTCACTTGTAAATATAAACTACTGTCATCTGTTCAACTTCATTAAATGTTAAAGGGAACCTTCCAAGCCCAGGGATTGCATCAATGATTCATGGGACACTATTGTTTATGTTGTTTATCCTTTGTTATCCATTGTAATTTTAATCCAGAAAGTAAATTTGTTGTGAGATAAGGTTTAACTGGAAGTGCCTCTTTAAGGCACAATTCAGTCCCCTGGGGCGTTTGTTTATTGGAGGTGTGGCTATGTTAATGAGTTTTGTTGATCACTGACACCTACCATAGACCCTCTACTGGGGGGTCTATGCACCTACACAGCATATATTTACAGAACACCTCATGGTTTGTTTACAAGCTGGTAACACTAATCCCCAGAAGCTCAATGCTATGTTCACACGGCAGCATTCTATCGGAGCCGAACTACTGCTCCTCCCACAGATTAACAGGAGATTATCTACAATGCGTTCATACGGTCGGGAGCCGAACGAGAGCCGAGATCTGCCAGAGTTAGATTCAGTTCGATCAGAGCCGAACGGAACAGTGCCCTTGAATAATTAGTGACTGAAAACGATTTTAGTGTGTACTTTTTTTCTTTACATGGCATGATGCTGTTGAGCTAGGAGAAAAAGGAGCCTGAGCATGGAGATAGAAAAGACAATGACTGGTATTATGATTTATGTACTAGTATCTCGAATAAACAGGAAACACGGCAGCTAAAATAC